TTCACCACCAGGGATGATGAACATTTCCTCATGTGTTTCTTTGTATTTGGCTTAATTTTAATAGTAATACTTTTATTCTTTCATTAGCTCAATTTCTTTCTTTCTTTTCTTGGGGGAGGGGGTTGGTGCTGAGGATTGAATTCAGGACCTCACCCTCTCTATTAGGGTTCTACCACCTGAGTCTTATCCAGTCCTTTTGTTTTTAGTTCTGTTTTTTTTTTTCAGATGTCTCAGGCTTTTGATGGGGCCAATCTCATGCTGAGATCACCTTGTCTTCCTCTTAAGTAGCTGGGTAGCTGGGATTACCAGCAGGAACCACCACACCCAGTTCTTGCTTAACAATTTAAACTAATGTGCTTGGACACTTATGACAAAGACTAGTGACTCATGTTCATGGCTGTTATAGCTTTTGTAGACTGGGATGGACAGGCAGATGTGTAAGTGTCATATAAATGTTACAGCAATAAGTTATGGAAGTATACACAAGAGTCAGAGGGCAGACAAGGAAGGAAGTGCTTCATTACTCTGGGAGAGAGGGAAAGAGGAAAGCAGGGCTACAAGGCATCTCAGAAGAGAGGACACCTGATCTAGGTCTTGAAGTTCTGTGTATACTCAAGGTAAAGGAGGAAAAATGGGAACAGGATTGAGATCTGAAACCGACTGAGGTGTTCAAGGAAATACAAGCAGTTCAATATGGCGGGGCTGGTTGGGGGGTGGGGGGCACTGTGTTACATGATATGGTAAGGAGTTGAGATTTTACTCAGTTGGGATTTTACTCAGGCCAATGTGCTCTCAAATTGTGATTCCATTATGGTCCTCATTAAATTGTAGATTCTGGATTCTCAAGAGGAATGATGGGTAAGTTTGGATAGAATGAGAATCTTAAGGTTTTCTAGATGTCTGCATTATACAATGAAAGCTTGAGGACCGCTGTAACAGGTGATTGGCAGCCATTCAAAGGTTGTAAACAAAAGCAAACCAATTGGATTTGCTTTTACCAAGATTATTTCCTAGTTCCAGTAGTGCAGAAGATCCTAAACTCTGATGTTTACAAGAGCAAGATATGTAATATTTTTTCATGTAAAGCAGGCTGTACGTGTGATAAACTAGGGAATGGTGATAACTGACAATTGAGGAGCCTGGCACTTGGTTAAAGGAAGTAACCATTCTGCAGCTTCAATTCTTGACTAGCAGGAATTTCAATCCAGTGCCATCAGACTAGTGATTCTTTTCTTTCCAAAGTAAATGAACTATCTTAGTTCATTGGAGGTTACTCTAACAGCACTGGAGACTGAAGATGTAAGATTGCTCCACTGTGTTATCGTGCAAAACCAGTATGCATTCCATAGAAACTATACTTGCAATTTTGAGTTTCTACTATTTTTTTCTGACAGCTTGCAAGACTCAGTGGGATACTCTCACAATGCTGGGAGCTGCAGCAAGCCACAGCACATGGTCAGCCACATGACCATGAAGGTGAACAACTGGTACTCTATGGTTTGCTGGGCTATGTTAAGATATCCAATGGCTTAGGTGTATTCAATATGCTTTCAACTTAATGGTGTTTTCAAATTATGATGAGGTTTATTAGGGACATTATTCCATGAGCATCATACTCATTGAATACATATTTCCATGTTGTTTCTCTGTATATCTTACAAGCAGAAGCACTGACACCACTTGTTCTGAGATTTCCAGCTTTTTAGGATAAGCACACTGGATCTGTGGCTCTCCAGCCCACAGAAGGCCTCGGTGAAACCACTCAGCCTCTGATGGTGTAAGTCAATCTAATAAACCCTTCTTAAAATTTTATGTGTACAAAATTATACATAATATACAATTATATATAACATATTACATATGCATAGCATATAATATAATATATATTATATAATAGTATAATATAAAATATATTATTATATAATATATAATAAATTATAATATATAAAATGATACATTATATTATGAATATATTATATATAATTATATATATAATTTTATATACATGTATATATGTGTCTATATATATTGGCATATATGTATATACATGCCTATATAGACATGTCTACATATGTTTATATGTCTATATATGTTTATATTTAAACATATATAGTATATGTGTATATATGTATATAATATATAATATATATTTATATATAAACATATATGTGTGTGTATATATATATATATATGTACACAGAGAAAGAGAAAGAGAGAGAAAGAGAAAGAGATTTTAGTGGTTCTGTTTTGCTAGAGAACTCTGGACAATGCAACAAGGTTGTAGTTTAATGTGGAACTCTTTTGGAGCTCAAACTAATATTTTTCCCTAAAAAAATAAAAAATTATGAGCTCATAAAACTCCTCTTACATTTGTATTGTTTGCAGTTGATAAGCCTTTTGACTACTATATTTCATTTTCTTCCTCTTCTAAAGTCATTGTAAAAAAAAACCTGGGTGATGATTATGTCTTCCTTGAATTGAACAGATTTATGAATGTCTCAATAACTGACTATGTCATGTGAAGTGAAGAGGTTAACCTTCTGAACTTTTTCTTACTACAAAGACTACTGGGAGGGTTAACACTTTCTTGTGCTGAGTGTGTTTAAGATTTCAGGTACTGTGTTCTGCTGCTGGACTATAGCGTCAATGTAATACATTTCAATAAGGTACTAATCAACTGGCTTAATCATCATTTGTTTCACCTATAAAGTCAACTGCAATCATATGTTATATCACTAATATAAAATTTAATTATTAGCTATAAATCCCTGAGATCCAAAAATGATAGTATCTTTGTAAATTCAGTGTTACACTGTAACAATCATGAGTCCAAGATTCCCACCATAAACAGACAATAAAATTTTGTTAATTTGCACTTACATAAACCTTCTACTTACAAAATTATGACTGTGAACTTCGAAGTTTTCTTTCTATGTCTAAGAGAATACCAGTGTCATAGCACATAAAGTGAGATGGAGGTGTATCTTCTGTGCTAATACAAGCTTAGAGGTAGGCACTCATGGACTGGCACCACACTCTCCTGATATCTCCTTCCATCTTTCCTCTCCCTGGTTGTGGCATCCACCTTTAAGGTCATGGTTCCATGTTATCTCATGTTTCAAGCACAGAAAGGGCAAGATCAAAGTCAGTTTCCAAGCTCTTTTTTAAAAACCCAAGACTCCCTCTTAAAACTACTATTTACAACTTATTGGCTATGTCTAGTTATAATAAAACTGATCAACTGAGTTTCATAGAAACGTATACTGCGACACCTACAATGACACACTAGTTTGCTACTAAAGTGGAGATCTGTTGTCAAGACTTTGCCACACATCTACAAAATTATTCCCCATGTCTTTCTAACATGTTGCTCTCATTCATTTTCATGCAAAGATTTAATTCACTATTAAATGTTAAAGCAATTATTGGAGATTTATTACAAATCAGTTCAATGAATCAATTATTAGGGTGCTATTCACTAGCGTACCTTCTTTGTATCAGACACTCTGGTAAAGAGATGGTGTGTACTAATGGCACACCCCCTCCTTTTCAGAGCTCAAAGTTGACTTACGCCAAGCACCGGGCACACCTGTAATCTTAGCTACTCAGGAGGCTGAGATCTGAGGATCACGATTCAAAGCCAGCCCAGACTGGAAAGTCCATGAGACTCTTATCTCCAATAAACCACTAGAAAACCGGAAGTGGCGCTGTGGCTCAAGTAGTAGAGTGCTTGCCTTGAGCTGAAGAGTGCAGAGACAGCTCCCAAGTCCAGAGTTCATGCCTCATAACCAAAAACAACAACAAAAAAGTTGATTCACTAAAACTATGAGGTACTAATTATATAAATAATGCCCATTTGGAATAGGTCACTCTCCTATGTGGCATTTGTATTCAAGTAAAATTGTATGTAATATTTTAACATAAACATATACTTTGATCAGGTGAATAGTTACACAGTTCTAGAATGTCTATTAGATTTGAAGGTGAGTTTTATAAATCTGTATCATGTGAAGTGTTCTCTTTGTAAAAAATAAATAAAGTTTTTGGTACAATAGTAACTTTTCAAGTACTTAATGTGGCCATGCATAATTAATATAGAGCTAAATCCAGTTTTTCCCAAAATATGCATCATAAAGAAACCACAGAAATAACAACAGAGAGAAGGCAAATTAAATTACTGAAACTATGGACATTTGCTTTCTTTTTCAGGTTGAAAAAGACAGCTAAAGGAATTTAACTTGTTCTTGTCTTGAAGAGTATTTGAGGCTTGGTTTAATTTTCTGATTGCTCTTTTCTAGACAGTTCCTAGGAATGTCTTTGAGAAACTCTAAAGAAGAATATGATACAATAATAACAGGTTGCTATCATAGTGGTGGAAATGACAACTCTTTATTAGCTTTAACAACCAGTGACCTATATTTTATTTCATGCATATGATCAAGTTGGAATTGGCCAGCTCCAATTTCAACTAAAGCATTTGGAACTTTTCATACCATATGTAGTAAAATAGTATTTCTTGCACTGTTTGTCTGAGTTAAATGAGGCTTAAGACCAGAACAAAATGACTAGAATACATTGATTTCATTTAATAAAAATCAAACTTAAAATAGTTTGATTCATTTGAAAATGAATTTAATCTCAGCTGTCATTAAAAATGAATACAGGGGGCTGGGAAGGTGGCTCAGTGGTAGAGTGCTTGCCTTGCATGCCTGAGGCCCTGGGTTCCATTCCTCAGCACCACATAAGCAAAAAGAAAAAA